ATATGTGTGTATGTGTGTGTAGTAGGTATGTGCAGGCATACACAGTATTTGTCAATTTCTGTATCTGTTAAATTTGCTTCTTTTAAAAAGAACATAATGCAATCACCATTGATGGGTTCTTGTGAACCCATCTCTAATGTTATTCTTTATCTTCCAGAGATAAAGAATAGCTCCAGAGACAGAAATGTAAAACTTTAGAGAAAAAAATGTCATGCATGGTAGTGCATGCCTTTAATCGCAGCACTCAGGAGGCAGAGGCACGCGGATTGCTGAGTACGAGGCCAGCCTGGTCTATATAAAGAGTTTCAGACAACCAGGGCTACACAGGATAACTGGTTTTGAAACACCAAACCAAATAAAATAAACAAAAAACCAACACCAACAACAAAAAAAGAAATTTTACAGAAAAAGTTTAATTATAATGTAGGCATCTCTGCAGGCCTTTGTATTTAACAAAAATGGTTATGTACAACCAACCTACTTGCTGTGACATCAGTGCTTTCCACCTTAGTGCCACGTCTGAGGACTGGGGCTCCTGCTCCTACCCCAAAGTTATGTGCTTGCATTTAAAACCCTCCAGTGTCAATTTAACGCCTGTGGCTTTGTCAGCATGGGCCACAGGGATAGCTATTAAGAGGCTCGAAACCCATTGAGATCAGCAAAGGCAAATCGTCTTTTACAAATCATACGATATCACAAAACAGTGGCTTTCCCCTCTTTAATAGCATTTTTATGTGTACTCAAAAGAAACACAAACATACCAGGGCTTCCAGGAACTCCAGGGGGACCACTAGGACCTGGGAATACATTACATCAATTAATTGCTTGCCCAGTTAGAGACACTCCTTGTCCAGTTTTTAAAATGTTCTACGACAGTGTCACCATAGTAACCATTCAACTCCTAGGGTATACCACTTACAAAAATTTCCATGAAAAATATAAAAATTGGAAATATCTCCACTGACATAAAGTGGGAATTCCCCTTCCTCCATCACCTGGAAACTATCATAGCTCTATAAATAAATTCTGCTCAGTGCTTTGAAAGAAAGATAAAACAATGGTGATAAATACATCCTCACCCTGTGGGCCACGAGCACCTTTGGGCCCAGGTGGGCCTGGCATTCCTTTGTCTCCCTTTTCCAGGTACGCATAGTAATATTCTGTCTTAAAGGAGAAGGTAGAGAATAAACAGAAACGTTACTGCTCACCAACCCCCCTTTCTTCAATCTCTTTATTTGGGCCTAAAAGAGAATTTCCTTGTTTTCCCGAGTTCAGATGTTTTGATATTAGCAGAAATACGGTGGCCATGCCCATACAAGTGGATAGATGTTAAGACAAAGATAACCTTTCTGATGTCATCACTTATACCATAGGCTTTCAGCTAGAACTACATTTAGTTTAATTACACTTTTTAAATTTTGTTTTCTTTCTGTGATGGGAATCAAACGCAGGGCATTGTGTTTGCCAGTGCTGGGCCACAGGGCTACATCCTTAGCCCTAGAAACACGTTTTATTGATGTGTCTCAACCACCACATTATATATTTGTTCAGTTACAAAATAAAGCAACAAGAACTTTCATGGAAGCTTCATCTATTAAATCACAGAAGTTACCAGCAGCAATGACATAATAGGGCTCATCATTAATTCCACAGTTATGTGTACAGATGCCGGGTATTGGGCTCGGCTGCAGTTTATGATTTCACAAAGCAAAGTAGCCCATCACACTTTCCTAGCATAAACGATATTTGGCAGTAACTTGCATCTGAAATAAAAAGATACTGATTCTTGGGACCCATTTTCATTCAGTGAGTTAAGCTATGTAGCTTGGGGGTCTGAGAACTGCATTTTAAAAAATGACTTGTATTGTGTATGTGAGAGCTATCCTGCATATAAGCAGGTGTCCCATTCATGTGCCTGGTACCCCGAAGAGGGCAATGGATCCCCTGGAACTAGAGTTACAGATGGCTATGAACCATCACGTTTGTGCAGGGTGCTAAGCCTGGGTCCTTTGCAAAGTTAACTTTGCTTAACTGCTTACCCATCTCTTCAGCACCTCACTTTAATTGGGCGGGGGGGGCATGTGCATGTAGGTGCAGATTTCCAAAATGACTAGAGGCTTAGGTTCCCGGAAGCTAAGATTAGAGGTAATATGTGCTGCCCAGGGTGGATGCTAGGAACCGAACTTGGGTCACCTGAAAGAGCAGTAGGCACTCTTAACCTTTCTACAGCCTTGAGAGCTACATTTCTAACAAATCGAGCCCACGACTCTTTGCCATCGTGGGTCATTTGTACAGCTTGTACAGTCGGACAGAGAAGCCCTGCCAAGCACACTGGCTGGGAGACTGCTTTGGGTGAATGAGCAGATGCCAGAACTGAGAGCCAGCGGTCCCTCTCATTCATCTCACATGCCCTGCAGTGTCATGAAATCAAGTCTGTGCCAGGCAGGGTGGTGCTCCCAGGGCAGTGGAGCTTGGGTTGTAGGGACAGATTCTTGCTGACCTGCCTTAAACTCAAGGCAGAGCTTCAGCTACCATGCAAATAGAAGGACCAGGCTCTCTTGTTCCTAGGTACCCTAGCTGTCTTCAGCAGCAGCCTTCTTATTCCACTTTGAGAACAGAGGATCACCTTGGAAAACTGTGATGAGGCCAAGGTTTTTTTTTTTTTTTTTTTGTGTGTGTGTGTGTGCATGTGTGTGTGTGTCAGAGTCCAAGATGGGCTTTATTAGTGCATTCTAGGAATCAAACATAATCAAATCAAAATATTTATGGGTAAATAATGACGACAACTAGTCTATGCCTTGGCTTGATGAAAATGAATATGCTCTTATATTCATCATAACAGTTAATGAGAAATGTTGATTCAAAACTTGCTCAGTACTTGGAAAAACTTAACTATGATATTGTTCTCTCTAGTTGCACTTACTGGACCAGGGAATCCTGGAGGGCCAATGTCTCCTTTCCATCCCTGTAAAGAAAGACATTGCGGGTGAATATGCAAACTCAAAGGAGCATAGTTAAAAAACAAAATACATGGTTGAACAATAAGTTAATGGTCACGGCCATGCCATTTAGGTATAATGTGCAAACCAGATTACAAGGGCGTTGCCTTGAAGTCATCTTCCTGGCCAGCCCTTGTCTAGGTGAAGTTTTCTGCAAGGCTGGGAAGAAGGCAGTGCCCCCTTGTCTATTCTCCACCTTCCTCCTTTACCACATGGTCTCTAGTCTTACACATCCACATCCTCACACAGACTGTAGCTGTAGGATAGCCAGGCCAGGGTTGTAGTTAATGCCCAATGTACCCAGCCTCCTTCATTTCGAGAGGGCAATCCAAAATTCTTCCAGGACTGGCTATTAAAAAGCGGAGTTTGAATCAGAATGTATATCATTGCATATGTGAATTGTCGGTGAACATCGGCAGCATATCAGAGGCAAGTGATATGGAATATACTACACAGGTGATTGTGACTTTTTAGGGACACACGACCCAGCTGAGGTTCCAGAGTCCACACTACACGACCTCAGATGACCAGATGGATTCCTGCTATTGGGAGCCTTTGCTGAAACCCTGCTCACAGGGTGCTGATACGTATCTAGGGTCCTGAGCCAGCCGGTGTCAACTTCAACTACACAGAACAATGTTTTATCTCTTCCTTGAGAACCTTCTTGGAATGTTTATTGTTCTTTCATCTTAGCAAAAACACTCAACAGCTAAGCTTTTTTTTTTTTTCTGGCTTCTATTATAATGTTACTCTCCAGCATTTAAAAGAATGTGATTTTATTAAAACATAGACTACAAAGGTCTTTCATTTCTTTTCAAGCTACTATCAATTATCAACAAAATACGTTTATATTATTCTATGGGGAAATCTTCCTGTTTAATACAAGAGTGAGTGAGCTTGCTTTACCGAGGCACAGACAGCACTATGAAAACCAGCACTGTCAGAGAGAGAGAGAGAGAGAGAGAGAGAGAGAGAGAGAGAGAGAGAGAGAGCGAGCGCCTGGGAAAGACTAGAGAGGAGGAGTCTTTTTTCCACAGGACTGACAGAATTGTCTGCTCAGCGTCCATAGTTCAGACCGCACACATTAATCAAACCAGCACTGAAGACTGAGAACATTTCATGATTCCTGGGCAAAGGTCAAGCCCCAGCTTTTAATCTCAATACTTTGTTAACAGGAACACGATTTTTAAACTAAGCAATACCTATGGGCCGACAAGATGGCTCAGTGGGTAAAGGGGCTTGCCACCAAGCCTGGATATCCAAGTTTGATTCCCCGAACCCATATGGTAGGAGAGAGAAGCAACTCTCAATGAGTTTTCCTCTGACCTCCACGTGTGCGCTCTGGTTCATGTGCCCCTCCTCCAACAAATAAATAAAAGTGAAATGGACAACAACTCAGCAACAAAAATCTGAAGGAGGTTGAAACTTAGAAAGACAGACCGGAAGGGACCTGTGAACCACAGTGGGTGAGAGCTTGGATTCCACGCCCGGGGAAAGGAACCACAGTCCCACGGTGGTGAGGAAGGGAGGAGAGTCCGCAAATGCCTGCAGTGAGATAGGCTTCTACGGAAGACAATGTTCTCATCTGTGGAATGGGACTCGCCCCCATTTCCCAGAAGTGACTTGAGGATCAAGTAGGAATATCTGAGAAGCATTCAGCTGGGAATAGGAAATACTCAGTAATATTGATGGCTTTTGCTATATGATTGTAGGAAACCTCAGAAGACAGACTCAAAAATTTCACTTCAGTTCAACATCGGCTTATTTTGAAAAAGCCTGTGGTTGCAATTCCTTATTCTTGGGAGGGTAGGCAATACCCAACCAGTTGGAAAAGGCTTAAGAGAGGATGTTACCTTAATGCCAGCTTCACCCCTCAACCCAGGAAAGCCCCTGTTGCCCTTGGCTCCCTAAAGGAAAAAATAAAAGGACAGAAGATGAGAAGACACGAGTCAGTTGCATCTCTATGAAGCAAGCACAGCAGGAACTTTTTAATTTTTAAATATTTAAAATGAATTTTCAAAAGCAATATGTAATAGTTGTATATACTTTTAGTATATAATGCAATGTTTCAAGATCTCACCAGTTCTGATCTATATAAACACATTTTATCTACCAGATTGTGTACTTTGTGTATTGATCAGGTCAGGGAACTAATCACATCCACCCCCTCAATTGTCTGTCATTTTATTATGGTGTTAAAGATCTTCCTAACTAATTTCAAGTAGACAACACACCCATGTTGATTCTAGTTACCTTACGGTGAGACAAAGACTAACATTTGCCTGGGAGCAAAGGTAACTTCTGCATCCATTGACTAACCACTTCCTGTCCCTCCAACTCACCACACCTCCCAGTCCCTGGGTCTACTCTGCTACTCTGAGAGATCAGCTGCTGTGGATACTGTATCTGAGAAGACTGAGCGATATTGGTCTTGTGCTGTCTGGCCTATCATTAGGTGTGTTCAGCAGGCCTTTTCCCAGTGGGTCTAAAGAGCCAAGTGTAGTCTGTAAAAGCTGAGATCACCTCATGATTCTCAAATAACCTTCACCTAGTATCACGCTGCTTCCAGGATATTAATAGGCTTGCTTTACCTCAGTGCCAGGGAAGCCAGGTGCACCATCTTTTCCAGGTTTCCCCTAAAACAAAACCACTTAAGTTTTACTAATGTTAAACAGGTTGACTTTAGTAAACAGAGAAAACATTTATGATATAATTTCCTTTTGACATAAGGCAAGAAAGGTGCAGGGAGGTTCCTCACTGTCTGGTCTTCTAAGGTAAGACTCCCGATCTTACAGGCGGTGGGCATCTCTTCCCAGAGAAGGCGGATGCCAGTTAGGATCAGTGATTAGAGGCAAAAGGAGGGAGAGAAGACAGCAAAGCTTTGAGTGGAGTTCATGTCCCATCCTGACACTGGAAATAGACCCAGGGAAGCACCAAGCTGAGAGGTAAATTAGGAATTTAGAGAGAAGGAAGTATTTATAACTTAGTGATTTGAAATGCAATTTCTTAAATCCTAGATAAATATTTAAATATTGTAGTGTCTGAGTAGACATGTCTTTCAGATGAAATGTTATGGTCTGGACCCTTTCTGAGAATTAAAATCAGGCAAGCTGTATCACTTTTCCTTGAACATCCCCACTCCACTTGCCCTGCCTCAACCCATGCTTTTTAGGGGTTTTACATGCTATATCTGTTTAAATCTTCCAAAATGGAGCTGAGTCGGGAAGTGACCCCAATTGTTTCTGGGTTCCCAGCATCCCACTTCCAGACACACTTTGGGAGCTGTTCTCTCTCTAAGCTGACTGCTTCTGTTGCTGTCATCCACAGGAGTCCCCTGACTAGTGTGTGTGTGTGTGTGTGTGTGTGTGTGTGTGTGTGTGTGTGTGTGTTTGGTTTCTTCTTAGATGTCATTAGCCTGATATTGCATAGGCTGTACCTCATTCCTTTTCTTTTTCACAGAAGATCATTATTTCTTGGACAGAATAGGCCTGGTACCCAGAGAAGAAGTGAGGTAGAGAGAGGGTCCTGTCCCAGCTTTCTGAAATCCCTGGAACTTGTTTTAGGCTTGAAATTTTCAGATATTTGGAAAAATAAATCCCTTCACCAAAACTTAAAAAAAAATTTCTAGTTGGAGCATCTCACTCTGTGACCCAAAGATTCCCAAGTCCTGCCTTCCTTGGCTACACATGATACCGAATTGCCCCTTACCCTTGGACCAGGCTCTCCAGGAACACCCTTTTCTGATCCATAGGAGTCTCCAGGTGGCCCCTGTGTGATCAGAGTTATGGAATGCTTTAGAAATGTACTTTCTGATTTTGTACCTTCAAGATTAATAATTCATCCATTCTATTGGGAATATTTTAAATTAGGTAATCTAAAAGTCTTATGATAAGATTGAGTTTTATCTTAAAAACTTTGGTGGGAAAGCTGAAGTTGCACCAATTCACAGTTGATGGCTTCTGGCAGGGTGGGAGTCGGGGAAGACTCAGTTTTCTTAGAGGGGTAGGAGTTTGATCATGCTCCAGTGAGCACATGGGTAACTCAGATTTGACTAGTGTGGGACAATTTGTATATTCTCAATTATGTTTTAAATAAATGCTGATTGGTCAGTAGCCAGGCAGGAAGTAGAGGTGGGGAAATGAGAACAGGAGTATTCTGGGAAAAAGAAAGCTCTTTCCACAGTTCTGTCCAGACACTGAAGAAGCAGGATGTGACCTGCCCCACTGAAAAAGGTATCAAGCCATGTGGCTAACATAGATCAGAATAATGGGTTAATATAAGTTGTAAGAGTTAATAAGAAGCCTGAGCTTTTTATAACTTATGGAGACCTCTGTGTGATTTTCTTTGGGACTTGCCGGCTATGGAAACTGGGCAGGACAGAAACCCTAACAAGCTAGCCCTCATGTTACATTGGACTTGGTAAATTTTCCCTTCTTTTGTTTTGGGGAAGAGCATATGGGTTGGGAGTAGACCTGGGAGGACTGGGAAGTGAATATGATTGGGATGCCTCAGGTGAAATTCCTGATTAATCAATAAAAATATTATATAAAAAAGAATTAGTTTTAAATAGATATTCAAAATCGGGTGCTATAGTCAAGTCAGACCTAAAGTAGCACAGAGATTTCACCCAGAAAAGGCTTCAAAAATAATTTTAGAATATTCATGGGCTCTGTGTTTTAGTCAACATCAATATTTAAAGGCTGATCATTCATCAATATATGGATAAAGACTGTAATAATTGTACTTGGGTTACTGATAAAGAATAAAGCCCATGGTAGAGGGCATGTTCAGAGGAGTTGCGGGAGTGGGAGAGGAGTCATGGGTGGACATGAATCATGATACATTGCATATCTGTACAAAATTGTCAAGAAATAAAAATATTCTTAACAATATGTATTAAGGCTCTGTTTTATGTGTCATAGGAATAAAATGACTTAAATCACCTACCAAGGGTCCGGGACGCCCAGGTTCACCCATCTCTCCCGTATCTCCTTTCTCCCCCTTGAAGTCCTGTTACAAATACAATTCAAGGTCATTATCACAAACCATTACGTATCCCAAATACAATTAAACCAGTTGCATGAAATACCCTCTGTCCAGTGAAACTAGGTGTGAAAACCAGTACTGGGCCTCATGACAATACCACATGGTTCTTCACTTTAAATATGAACTCACGTTAATACAACCTTTCAAAGAAAAGGAACCCCTTGTGTATCTCCAGTAGAGATGTAACAGTAACTGTGTTAGTTACTATTACATCTGCCAGCCAATAACGGTGTAAGATCAGAGTTCTTTTACAACTCTGTTTCTAATCATTCACTACAGTTAACTGAAACAGATAACACAGAAAAACCAAACATCACATGGTAATAGCTCAGATTTCTAAACTCTTTTAAGATCAGAATATAGATAAGATTATTGATGGTTTTCAAAACATTCTATCAACTTTGCTGAAGATATGCTATATCCTTTATTAAAATGTGCTTTTGTGCTGGGGAGATAGATCAGGAGAGCACCTGAGCCCTGGTTCTAATCCTTGGCCCTAGCACAGGCACCCCAGGAATCGGACAAGTATTATCTCAGCATGTTATCAACCCTTAAACAACGGACCCCTCTGGGCACTAACCTTAAATCCACCCATCTGTATAATGAAGCTCAGGACTAGTAAAATAGTCTATCGATAGTCTGTTGCCTGCCCTCCAAGTGCAGGTGTTACTGTTGTCTTGCTCTTTCGTGCACGTTTCCTAGGAGATGATGCTAAAACAACACCATTGGGTGTTCAAAGCACCCTTTAAACGGTAGCTTAATTTGTCTATGCTTCTTTGGGGATTTTGAAGAAATTTGATCTTTCGGAAGAGGAAGTGTGTGAGAGGTGGGAACTCTGACTTGTGTGTATATGGTTAGCAATAAAAGGTATTCTGAGAGTCCAGAAAATTAAGTATCTTTTGGATCAGATTACATTATACTTATTTAATCAAACCAGCTTTCTGTAAGTACATTCATTCCTAACACATTCAAATTACTTTTACTGGTACAATACTTTTCTCCTTCCTACCCCAACACATTTTTACTAATTACTTGGGAATTTGCTAAAATGCCACCACAATACACTCTTTTCCCATCCCTCCCAGGTCAGCCCTCCCAGTCTTGCACCCCACCATTTTCACCCCCAAAACTACCAAGTCGGATTTGTGTTGCTCATCTACTCATCCGAGTACGGTCAGACTCCCAGTGGCCAGTCCCTTAAAGAAAACCGAGTCTGTCCTCAACCCTCTGCCAGAAGCCAACAACTGTGAAGAGCATCTTTATCACAACTTTTAAGCTTCCTGTATGGTATGGACTGTTTCTTTTGTTGGGTGAGGGTGGAGGTTGTGACAGAGGCCTTCAATGTCTCTCATTCTCAGTGATGAGTCTGCAGTCATGAATATCACTGCAAAAGGAGCTCGCTTGAACAAAGCAGCCTACAGCAGCATGGATCATGGACTTCCACATGGTTTCCGGTGGCAGTTCAGATCATAGACACCCACCTTGGTCCCTGGTGGCTTCACATATTATAGCTATCAACATGGCCTCCCACAGCAGAACATGGATCGTGGATAGCCTCTGGCCCTGGCTTTGATCATGGATATTCAAGGCAGTATGGTCCATGCATGAAAGTCGTCTGAGGAGACTTAGACCAGAAAAAGAACCATTTTTCATCTCAGCTATCTTGCTGTTCAGAGTCAGTGTGTGTGTGAGGGGGGGGTCAGGTCAGCCACGTGAGTCCATGTTGTCAGCCAAGAGACATGCTACAGCCAGAGTCATGCAGATCTGAGTGGCCTGTGCCATGGTGACATCCAGGCCAGAGGTGTAGTTGAGGACCATGTCTGGGTTTGTGAATCTAGGATCAGTGTTGATGTCTGTCTGAGGTTCCTGTTACCATTGAAGGCCATATGGATGCCTGAGATCTGTAGCTAAATTAATGTCCAAGGGCCACGCTGTTGAGGATACTTGCGATCTGCTACCCAGGACAATGGACATCTAGGCCTGGTTGCTGCTGAGGACCATATCTAGGTCTGTGCTTCCACCAAAGGTTGCACAGAAGCCCAGGGTCATGGCCATAACATGTAGCCTTGATGGTATTCAGGAGGTGTGACCAGAGACATCGTGATCTGGGTGGCCTATTCTTTCGCCAGGAGCCAGGATGTATTCTGGGCCCAAGCTGCTGCTGAGGGCCATGTCTAGGTTCCTGGTCCTGATGCAGCTGGGGTCTTTGTTGATGTCTGTGGTCCATGTGGCCTCATGGGGCCATGGAAACCATGCATGGTGGAATCAGAGGGACATGCAGACTAACCCTGCCCTTTGCTGGCCCTGGGATAGCGGGCTCTGTCCTTTGCTGGATGCTGCGGCAAGAGAGTTACTCCCCCAATGGGCCCATCCCTTACCACAGGTTGGGGATAGCTGACCCTGATGGTAGGGGTGTAAGGGAGCTGGCTCAACCCCTCGCCTGAGGTGGGTGGCCCCAGTGGCCTGGCCTAACCAGTTCAACTACCACCCAGGCTCACAACCAGGCTTGGGGTTGGCCCACTCTAACATCTACCCCATCTTAGACGTTCTGGAGCTCATGAAAGACCCTGTGGAACCATAATGACAGGATCTCCATGACTCAGGGCAGCTGAGGGATATCCAAGAGGAGTTCTGTGAGGGTCCAGTGATGATGCTGTGTAAGAAACCTGAGTCCTTGAACCAGACCAGAACTCACTGCAATGAACATTCCAAGTAAAACTGATTGGGAAAGAGGGTCTATTGTGTGACATACCACGGTTCCCAGTGCCACCAGGAAGAATGAAGAGGTGTTGGAGAGGTGGGAAAAAGGGAAGAGCAAAGAGGTTTTGCTGTTGTTGTTCTATCTTTTTCCTCTTTGTGTTTGTTTGCTTTTTTTTAAAAAAAAACTTTCATTTGCAAGGGGGAGGGCAGGATAGAGAGGAACTAAGAGGTGGGGTGCACGATGTGAAATTCCCAAATATTCAATAAAGAAATTATGTTTTAAAAAATGAAAATAAAAAGCACATGGAAAAAAATATTGGCAGTGATTGTGGTTGTTCAAGTCAGTGAATGTTAAAGCCACTGAGTTGAACATGATGTGTGGATATTATAAGCTGTATATTATAATACAAAAATTGTTAAGATTTGTTATAATTAAAATGAGGTTTTAATTAAATACCCCTTTAAAATGCGTATTTTATATTTAAATCTATGTATACAATATTCTGTCTGTATGTATGCCTGCAGGCCAGAAGAGGGCACCAGATCCCATTACAGATGGTTGTGAGCCACCATGTGGTTGCTGGGAATTTAACTCAAGACCTTTGGAAGAGCAGGCAATGCTCTTAACCTCTGAGCCATCTCTCCAGCCCATCAATTAAACTATTTTTGAAAACAATTAAATGTAACTTTCAAGATTTAGTTTCTTGGTTAATTCCATACCATCTGAGTTCTTTATTTACCCTCCCGGACTTCCCAAGCCCAGGTTAGTGCCTGGATTGGAGTATGGTACTGTGAATTCATTTCCTAACCACTCAGTTCAGCTCCATAGCTTGGCCTTCTTAGTCATCCTCCTATAGGAGCAAAAGCAATCAGTGTCCAAATAACTAGGAGCAGTGCTCTTGGAGAAGACGGAGTATGTCCTTGGGGTTACAATGACCACGACAAGGGTCCCATTAGATTGTAGTATGCCTATACCCTGTCTATAGGTCATTGCCATTCTATTGTATCGAAGCCACACATACTGTGTTAGGGGCGATAAGAGGGAACAGGGAAGAGTGTGAACAGAACTGGGCCATTGCCTTGGAGTCACATGGCTCTACTTCTCCATTTAATTTTTCCATCCCTCACCATGAACGATATTTGGAGGAACTAAACTGAGATATTCAGACTGGAGTGGGAAACTGAGATGAACAAGGATGATAATGGAGCTTATAGAAGAGGTAAAGGATCATCAATATGTCTTTCCGGAAACAAAGAACAACCATAGTCACAAAGCAACAGCCTTACCGATGTGTTGTTTGGGTGGATGAGTGTAACAATCACTGTTCCTTGCAGCCCAGGAGGTCCTGTCAATCCTTTCACACCCTAAAGACAGGTACAGCAGAGAATGAGAGCCACCCAACATCATCAACACAGCAGATTTATCCTCTCAAAGGCCTGTTTCCTCTCCCACCTCATATACAACAAAACTCATTTCAACATGGCCCACAAATTAACTAGAGGGAAATGCACTGGGGAGCGTGTGTCTTCTGACCCACCAACCCACAAGGGGGCATGCCAATTACCCTTTCTCCTTTTTGTCCTATGGCATTATCGCCCATATGACCCTGTAAGAAAACATGAAATGCCATTGTTAGGTCTCAGGAAGTCCATATGTCTAGAAATGAGTTCAAGCTGAACTATATATAGAAGGATTTCTGGAAGTTAGATAAAAGCCAGCATTCCTCAGGAACTTATAAAACGTCTCCCCAAAAAGTCATTTCTCTTGGATCTGGTAGAAGGGGACATATAATTCCACTGACATGGTGACCCTGTGGTTGAACATGAGAGCCCAAGCCCCAGGCTCCTCAGTCCTTACTCACGAGTATTTGTTAGATATTTCAAAGGCCCCCTCTCCTCCCTCCTTCCAGATACTGGCTTATTCTCTCTATACAGACAGAGTGCTCCCCCCCCCCCAAGCAATCTATTGCTGTCTTACTATCTCAACTCTTCTCTCTTGCCCTCTCCCTCTCTTGATTCTGTGGTCATGTCCAGTCTTCAGTCTGCAGTCTTTTTTTTTCTTCTCTGCTCTGGGCTATCCCAGGTGTCTCTGGATATTTTTTCCTCTCTTACTAATAATGAAAGCCTTCACCCTAATAATGGAGCAGTCTTGTTGGCAATTTCTGTACTGCACCTTCTCCTCTACAGTTATTATGTTTAAAAAATAAATACGAATAATTGGGGTTCGTTAACATTTCAGTCTTTGTAAGTGAAGACATATATTCATTTTAGTTTTGAAATTATAAAGCTTTATTACTACTTTTATAGAAGAACAGCGACATGTTTCTTTTAAAGGTGACAGTTTGGGGGCCCAGGAAATTGGAGACCCACTGAATATAACGGATGTCACATTGCCGGTGGGGAGCGGAAACCGGCACAAAGGGAATTTCTCTGGCTAAGCGCCTGTCTGGTTTTGAGTCCATTGACCGGCTACTTAGATTTCTGGCCATCTAACTTCCTTTTTCTGGCTGCCTCACTTCCTGATGCCCTAGTTTTGCCATGCTAAAAATAAGAGAGGTGAGCAGCTGAACTTTGAGATTCTGAAATTCAAGTCAGAGAAGCCAAGAGTGGAAATCAAGCCACGGCGTCTTTAGTAATTGAGTGACGTGAGGCCACAAGAGAGGAATAGCTTCCACTCAGCAGCGGTGGCTGCTGTGCTATGAACACCCATCACAGCTAATGCGGAAACCTACCACAAACTGTAAAGTATTAGGAGGTAGGGCTGGGAGGGGGGACTGTTAAAAATGATCCAATTGGTTCATTCCTGGACTAAGGGAATAGTGAGGTGTGGGGAGGAAAGTGAGCTCTCTGCTTATCTCCTGTTTCCTCATATGATACCTATACTCTCTGCACTCTGTAGTGCACAGGGGCTACGGAAAAGGCTCAGCGGGTAGATGGACGGATTCTGTGGGCTGGGGTCGAAGACAAAGCAAGTGGCAGGCCCGAGCCATAGTTTTTGTTGCCCTCTCCTTATGATATAGGTGCAAGATTGTACCCCAAACTTTGAGCCCAAATAAGCTTTCCCTTTCTCAGCTTGCTTTTGTCGGGTACTTGGTATCAAGAATGAGAAAAGCAACCCCCACAGTCTCTGTCCCATTGGTGTAGAGAGCTGCAGGGGAATCCAGAGATTTCAAACCTCAGTTGCTACTCAAGTAATCTGAACCTAGAAGAGACAGAGGAAGAGGGAGGAAGAGGGGGAGGGGAACAGGACCCGGGGAGGGACAGAGAGATTGCTTGCGTGCATCTATCAGTGAAGTAGTAAATGCGAGAGCACACTGGGAAGGGTCCTGTACATCGGGTCATTAATATCAATAAGAAACACTGCTTAGTAAGGCCTCCTTGGCGACGCTAGCTTCACGTAGCATTTTTAAAATTTAACTTAACTTTTTATTCACTCAACATTTTTATCCTTAAGCTACAACTTGACTTTTTAGTAGAAACACCGAAAGACCACACAAAGTCACCCTTCATGTAGGCATATAAGATCGCACGGATTTTGCAAAGCAGCCTGATGGCCCAAGGCAAGATTATCAGCCATGGAAGTCTATCTATTAGAAACCCTTGCTTTTCCCCAGTTATGGCTGGTCCTGTCCCCTGTCCTGCTGGGATTCCTGTGATCCCAGGGAGGTGCCCACTGTGGTCTGATAGGCTTTTGGGCTGGGTAGGGTGCTCTGCTACAACTTGGGAACACAGACTTACTTTTGGTCCTCTGGGTCCCACGGCACCTGGAAGACCCTAGAAAAGCCACAAGGAAACATTACAGCAGGAGTCACGCCCAGCCAGAAGATGCTCTAAAACATTTTGCAGTCACCAATGTAGACACTGAGAGGGACTTCATACTCACAAAATCTCCCGGACGACCAGGTGGACCGGCAGGCCCTGGAAAACCTGGGGGGCCTGGAAAACCCTTGAAGAGAAGAAGGAATTCAGTGTACTTGTCAAATAACGCCAAAGTTAGACAGTGATGTTTTAATGGAATCACAAGAGCATACCGCCTCCTTCCTAAGTGACTGCAACCAACCATTCTAACTCATTGCTGGGGGCAGCAGATACTTGGGATAGTCTAATGCTGTTGCACATGGGGCATTGCCAGCAACGCTTCTCTACTTGGGCAGTTTTCAGGTTTTTTTCCTCTCTATTTCTCTTTCTCTCCCCTTTCCTGTCTTTCCCTTCTTCCTCCCTGTATTTGGACAGTGTTTCTCCATTTCTTTAGGACCGGCCCCACCTACAGCTCTCCTGCCTACCTACAGCTCTCCTGCCTAGTTTTCCTTATACCTATACGATCGCTTCTTTCCTTTCTCTCTCTGGCTGGCATTCTCAGAAGGCTGCCCTCTCGGCTGGATCAGTACCTTGAGTTGACTGACGGTGCCACCAAAGCTCTGGGCTCCTTCTCTCTCTGTCTATAGCTGGAGTCCTTCCCTGTTGATACTTCTCCCTGCATTACTTTTCTCATTAGCATTCATTATGTTGTAGCACAAGGTACCGTCATTGACTGATATGTTTTTCTGTCTACTCATCAGATTGTGGGCTCCACGAGGACAAGAATTTTAGAACTGGTCGTTGGCTGATCTGGGCTCTAGAGCCTGGAAATAATCCTGCCGACAACTGGCCTCTATGAAATCTTAAACATGTCACACTGTCTTCAGGGCCTGCACAATAAATAGTGCACTTCTGTGCACTGACAGGAGACGGCCGTGTCCTTTCCGCACCACTGATCCCTCCGCTGGATCAAGAGCCAACCTGTCCCACCCCTCTCTCAGGAGCCCATTGCTGCTGCAAGCCACACACCTGTAGTTGTTGGGCTCTGAGCCCAATTTCACAGCTTAGTTGACCTGGCTCACCGTTCATCCACAGCCTCAATTCAAATTCTCATTCACAGAGGTAAATATCCCGTCTCTTTGCAGAAATTCTCACACTTAATTCCAGACTAAGGTGAGTTAGTTCTGGTTCATTAGCCTGAAATTATAGCCGATGTCTACCTAAGGGGGCCTTCTGAATCACAAAGTTTAAAACAAGCCCCAGATAGCTGTGTCTCACTGGATCTGTTATGAAACACCGCCAGGCTAGCTACAAATGGACTAGTGAAGCAAACCATTGGAGGTTCAATGGGGAGAGAACCACCCTTCAGTGAAACTCATAAAGATGCTGTGTAAACATTGGCGCTAGCTTGTTCAGCACTCCAATTGTAAGTGGTAGTCAATGCATGGTGTGAACCTGTCCTTGATTTCAGCCAATATGAAGAGAGTAGAAATCGTCCCTGAATAGTCTCGAGTGACAGACATTTAAGAAGAGAATATAAGATATCCACAATGTCATTTTTTTGCATATCACTGTGTTGCTCCTCTCAATGGAGTCAATGTTAGAATGACATGTGAGGCAGACATTGTAGACAGGGAGAGAAGAGAGGAAAGAGAGAGGCCGGGAGGAATGGGGGAGAGAGGGAGATAGATAATATGAATATGCTATACTACGAATAAGAATATGAATGAGAGATCCTTCTAGAAGTATCGTACCTGGAAGCCTGGAGGCCCTGGAAGCCCAGGGTCACCTTTGCCATTGAGTTCCCTGTCTTCTCCTTGAGCAGGCTCACCCTTGGAAACAGAGACAGTCATCAACCCCAATCAACTTTATATTTTCAACCCCCCCCCAATTGAGTGCTTATTCAAGGTTCTACCTCCTTAAAGCTGAACACTTGTGAGGATATATACACTTAGAGAAGCATTTTTACAAATGTGCGGATCATTCATTTTTTTTTAAAAACTTTTTTTTAAGATTTATTTATTTATTATGTATACAACATTCTGCCTCGATGTATGCCCGCACGCCAGAGGAGGGGGCCTGATCTCAGTACAGATGGCTGTGAGCCACCATGTGGTTGCTGGGAATTGAACTCAGGACCTCTGGAAGAGCAGACAGTGCTCTTAACCTCTGAGCCATCTCTCCAGCCCCCCAGATCATTCATTTTTGAAGCATTCAAAGAACTCATTAAAATTTGTGTTAGCCTCTATGAATTATATATAAAGATGAATTTCATTGTGACATTTATGCACTTGTATATAAAACACCTTTTGACTATATTCACTCCCACTACCCACCTTTTCTCCAGCACTCCTGCTGATTATAGTTCACCCCATACTTTCCCACCACACGTGAGTTTAATTAAGGTTTCTTATAGGACCACAGCTGAGGGGCTATTTATATGCTCATGGACAACTTACCAATGGCTACACCACTGAGGAAAATCTCTCTCCTTCCCCAGCAACCATTAGCTTCCTATAACTCCTCAAGCGAGGGTGGGGTTTCACAAGCCCCTCCTCCCACTTTTGTACTATTCTTAAAAATCTGTCAACTTGTAATGATAGAAGGAAAAAGAATAATAAATCACTTCCCAAGACACCCAAAGTGGTAGTAATTCTTAACCTAGAATGTGGAGTCTCAAACATGAGATCGGTTTCTTGCCCCTTGATCCTCATTCCTGAAAGAGTGGCATAACCATTCAAAGACCTGTCTATGGTGAGAGTCAGAAGAATTTGCTCAATAGGAGACAGTGTCATGTTTTAATTTCTATAGTATCTGAATTATTAATACCAAGATCAGTGTGTTATAGTTTATATTTCACTAATTAACTGAAATATTTTTCATACATATGGTTAGAGATATTCAGTAATAGTAGATGACAAATGACTTACTTTTTGTCCTTTCAAACCAGCAGGACCCTGGGAAAGAAGCAATGCATTAGCCACCATAGGCCAAACAAATCCATACACTTGATCTTGTCTCTACTTCCTTATATTGCCTGCTGGCCCCATTACATTCTAACATTCTTGCTACTGACTTTCAACGTCCTCAAATTTGCACATTTCAACTGATCAACAGTTTCTTCTTCATCTTCTGCCTCCCTCCAGTAGAGACAGCCTTTCTTTCATCTTGCCTACAAATATGTATCCTGTCATTCTCCCGCCTACTCCCCAGTTCCATTTATGCCTCCCAGCTCCTTCCTGCCATGGAACCACTGCTTTCCAAGATCAGCAATGACTTCATGTCATTTGCTAAGACCAAGTCATTAGTTCTTGTATTACCAAACCTTTCAGCATCCTTGGGTTGCCCCATCCTTCACTGAAGTCAGTTTCCCCAGGACTTCTATTCTGTACTCTTTCTGGTTTGCTCTCTGCCATTAGGGCCTTTCCTCCTTTCCCTGCCTGCTCATTCCTCCTGACTTTGAAGTTACATGCTGAAGTCAAGTCTGACTTCCCATTCATTGCTCCCTATGCTCTCTCTGAATTGCTGGAGGCTTCACCTCACATCCTCTCCTCCAGTTTGCTTATTATACATCTTTGTGTGGATACGTCAAGTAAAACAAAGCCTTAATGTCTAAACGTGACTTCATAACAGTCTTCTTGCCTTCCTTCCTTCCTTCCTTCCTTCCTTCCTTCCTTCCTTCCTTCCTTCTTTCCTTTCTTTCCTCCTTTTCTTCCTTCTTTCCTTCTTCCTCTCTCTTTTTCTGTTTATTTCTCTCTCTCTCTCTCTTTTTCTTTCTTTCTTCAGAGTCTGATAACGTCTCATTCTTCCCCATATCATGAGGGGCTTGCATACACAGCACACAAAATGGACTACTTTCATCTGTACTTTATGTCTGTGACGTGGAGAGAGCGATGGAGACTTACTGGGAGCCCCGAATAGCCTGGTGTCCCCGGAATGCCTGGGAATCCTTGTTCACCCTAGAAGACACGGAAAGTTTGCCGGAATTCTTAGCTGTGCTAGAACGTCCCTTGCGGGTAGCCATCCCCGAGTGGCCCCTCCAACCAATTGTCAATGGGGTTGACAACTCTAGGCACACCAATTCAAATTCTTGATGGTTACTGCTCAGAGGGCCGAGGGCCAGAAACCCATTATCTTAGTTGAGAGTAAGATCGGGTCAACTGCTCCTCAAATTGAGCATAAACAGCAGCCTAATTGTGCCAAGAACTTTTTAATTGCTGCTGTTGGAACTTTGGTAATTAGTTCGCTTGTGGCCACCCTTCTGGGGGGAGGGCAGGGCTCAGCTGCGACACAATAAAGGCTAGAGGGCCCTTCAACGCTCAGGTTTTCCTTTCCAGACACTAACTTTGTTCTCGAAGCTTTAGTCTTTGATTGGTATCTACAACCTCTGATGCAAGAGAGTCATTGAGCTTCTGTGCGAATTGATTGGAAAACTCCCTTAAATCCATACATAAGGAGCAAGGAAGCAATTGCTATTCAATCATGCTGTTGATTCTGATTTAAAGGATGCTACTAGAAAGTCCATTTCCATTTCACTACAGCCTCTTCCTCTCTCTTTCATCCGGCAATGCTCTCACTAACTACCCGTGCGAGCAGGACGTACCTTAGAACCATTGCATCCAGGTAAACCAGCCAGCCCGGGAGGCCCAGGGTGGCCTGGGATGCCCTAGAAAGAGAGCAAGACTCACTGACAAAGGCAGAGGCAGCGTCACCAGCCCCAGGACCCTGCAAAAAAGGCAGGACTCAAGGGAAATGAAGAGTGGTGTTAAATGGCTATTGGCTAGAAATGGTTGCTTCAATGCTTACATGGCAAATTTAAATTGTAGGTCTTAGATATAATTTAATATCACAGGAAAGAAAACATGCCAAGATAAAGATTGTTGGGTGAGATGTGGATATTTTAGATAAAAATCTAGGAAACAGAAAGTGGGATTGCATGGCATGCTGTTCTAAGTGAGAGGGGAAGGGAGGGAGGTGACAGAGTAGTCACCGAGGGGACTGTGGCATTGTTCTGTGCTACAAACCAGGCTGTTCTAGTTTGTTGTACCGTTGCTATTCAGTTCTGCTCAGGGCTCAAACAAATCCACACTCTTCATGGTCAGTCCTAGGGTGTGTTTTCTTCTTGTAAAGAGTGTGTCAGACATGCTTCTTTGTGTGACTATTCTAACATTTTCATTAAGATGATCATGTGAGTAAGTGCACACACAAATGTATGCATACATGCACATATATGTGCATATGTACAATGCATACATATACACGCATATACATACATATATACATATATGTTACACATATACATACATACACATAAACTTATACACCAAAATATATACACATGCATACATATGCACACAATATACGCACAAACATACAGACATATACAGATGTACACACATACATGCACACATACACACATAATACATATGCAAACATACATACACACATATGTTTCTCATTACTTACTGGAAGTCCAGGAGGACCTGAAAATCCTGGTAATCCAGTTATTCCCTAAACATAAGCAAAAGAGGAAGGGATAGAGAGAAAAACAGTTAAAAATGTTCATCCTATAAACAAAATTATTCACCATTTCAATGATCATTCTTTTGCAGCTATGTAGTGAGTATATCAAAAAGTGATTAGAAAGACAAAAAGGCTTGACACACCTTTGTACATCTGGCCTTTGCAACTTTTTAGATCTTTGCTTTGCTTGGTGAGAGTCAATCTTGCTATGCACGTGGCCTAGACTGGTTTCAAGTTCATTGTGTACATTTCCAGGGCTTTTTTTCATGCTTTTGAATTTTTGCCCCTGCCTCCCATTTGTAGAACTGGTGTGTGTGTGTGTGTGTGTGTGTGTGTGTGTGTGCAAGCACATGTGTGTGTGTCTGTCTGTGTCTGTGTGCCTGTGTGTGGTGTTTGTGACACAGTAAACTTGTGGAGGTCAGAGGACAACTTTGGGGGAGTTTTTTCTGTTTCTCACCTTGTTGGGGCAGGGCCTCTCTTGATATTTCTGCCATCCAACACTCAGGGTGGCAGCCCATCTCCTATATCCACCTCCTATTTGGATATATGAGTGCTGGGATTGTGCACTACTGAATCTGTTTTTTTTTTTTTTTTAATATAATAGCTTCCTGGTATCAAACTCAGACCATCAGGCTCACAAGCGCTTTCCCCTCTGGGAAGTTTTACCTTACAAAACTCATAAGAGGGGGCTGTTATGGTTGCTTTGGCTGTGGGCAATTATTTTTTTGTTTGTTCTTTGAGATAAGGGCTCACTCTAATAGCCCAGCTTAGCCGGGGAATATCACTAGGCAGCCCAGCCTTGAATTTACAGCAATCCTCCTGCCTCAGCCTCCTGAGTGCTGAGGTTGTAGGTGTGAGTCACCACACCTGGCTGAAATTCATTTTTAAGGTATATTTTACATGCATAAAATGTTTATCCTCTGTGAAAAGCACGGATGTTTAATATATATCCTTCTTTCCCTCCTTTCCTCTCTCCCTTCCTCCTCCCTTCCTGCCTTCTCTGCCTTCCTGTTCCTTCCTTCCCTCC